GGGGGGGGGGGGGGGGGGCTCAGCAGCTGCAGCAGGCTGAAGTGGGAACCCTGGCACTGAGGCTTTTTGTAGCAGAGTACACTGCAGCTCTATGGAGGCAGCCTGGCTTATTTATTTTCGAACACTGCCCTCTGGCTGCAAGAGTGACTGCCACACAGCAGCTCAGCCCAGAGGCCCAAGAAGATGGAGAGCTGAACTTCTGCTAAAGAGCCGAGGTGCTGCAAAGTGCACCTGTCCCCAGACCTGGCCGCCTGCCACCTGGATAGGTCTAGCCCTAGGAGAAGACCTGCTGTCCTGCCCATCCTGCCAGCCCTACTCCCCAAGCCGCAGGCCTGCTGGGAGGGGGAAGGCCATGGGCATGCAGAGCACAGGACCCAGGCAGTAAACTGACCTCAAAGTGAAGGCTTGGTTTGCCGCAGGCCACACTGATGTAGAACATGTAGGGCTGCTATCTCCGGCCTCTAAATTGCTTGGTTCTAGCTTTATGTAACCAACTGGGTCCTGGATCCTTGCAGGAGTCTCACACTCTTCCCCTCTCTGGGTCTTATCTTCTTCTGCTGCTGTGGCTTCCACACTTCCCCTATTAACCACGCCCAAGCCTCCCGTACTATGCCAGCAAGTGTTCATCAAACATAAACCCCTCTTGGATCCCAGCAAATTCCATGTTGCCTGGGCTTCCTTCTCATAGATTTCTAGGGTTGTCCGACCCCTTGCTGTGGGCAGGAAAGAGAGCTGGGGTCAAGTAACCCCAGCCAGGTGCTTGTCTAATCTCTCTGTGAACACCTCCAAGGTAAGGGAAAGCACCATCTCCCTTGGAAGCCCATTCCATATTTTGGCAACCCTCACCATAAAGAATTTCTTCCTGATGTCCAATCTAAATCTATTCTCCTTCAGTTTATGGCGATTATTTCTAGTAAACCCAAGGGGTGCCCTGGTAAACAGAGTATCCCCTATTCCCTGCTGACCCCCTGATGAGTTCATAGACATCCATGAGATCACTTCTCAGCCTTCTCTCACAGAGGCTGAAGAGATTCAGGTCCCTCAGTCTGTCTTCATAGGATCTTACCTGCAGGCCCTCAACCATGAGTAGCCCTCCTCTGAACCCTTTCCAGGTTATCCACATTCCTCTTGAGGTGCAGTGCCCAAAACTGGATGCAGTACTCCAGTTGTGGCCTGACCAATGCCACATAGAGAGGAAATATCACCTCCCTAGACCTGCTTGTGATGCACCTATGAATGCAGGAAAGAGTGTGGTTAGCCTTACTTGTTACCTCATTCCATTGGCTACTTGCGCTCATTTTTGCATGGACTATGACTCCGAGATCCCTTTCCACTGCTGTGCTACTTAATGTTACTTCCCAGTCTATAGGTATATTGGTGATTTTTTCTCCCCAGGTGCTGTACTTTGCACTTACCTTTGTTAAATTGCATCCTATGCTGATCCACCCACTTCCCCATCCTATCTAAACCCACCTGAATTCCTCCCTACCCTCTAGTGTATTTACTATACGCCATAGTTTGGTGCCATCTGCAAATTCAGACAGAGTGCTTTCTACACCTTCATCTAAATCACTGATGAAGATATTGAACAGTACTGATCCAAGGACAGTCTTGGGGGACACCACTGCCCACATCTCCCCAGGTAGAAACCAACCCATTGACCACCACTCTCTGGGTGCATCCCATAAGCCAGTTTTCCACCAACTCTGAGCTTTCTCCCACAGCTCAGAGTAACAGAAACTCTACCCTCAACCACAACCAAGCCAGACTACCCTCCCTGGCTCAGACATCAGGCTTCTAGTAGGCTGGGCTTTACCTCTTTTGGTCACATGGCCTTCACCTTGCCCAGGGGTTCCTAATTAGTCCAATAGTCAGTCTGCTCTCAGGTGCTGCTGCCACTGAAACCACTGAGCTGCAGCCACTGCCCTTCCACCTGCCTGGAGCTTTCTCTGCCTGTGCCCATGCAGCTAGCACTCTGGCAGCCCCTGCCTGCACTTCAGCTCTTTGTAGCTTCCCCTGGCTGCTTGCTACTCTGTAGCTGGTTCTTGCTCAGCTGCCTACCTAATTGCAGCCCTCCAATGTTGGCTTCCTACCCTCCAAGCAGCAGTAGTTAGGGGACCCTGCTACAAATCAAAGGATTGGGAAAGGACTCAGGGCCTGGCTTGTCCAGCCCCTGTAGGGATGCAGGATCCTTACCCAAGCCAGGTGGCTCCCCCTTCACTGAGCAGAGGATCCATGCCCCAGTTAGCACTCACTGCTGCCCAGGATCTCCTCTCTTGTAGCATGGACATGCTTGCATTCAAGAGCAGGCTGTGGGTGGGGCAGAACTGTGTGGGAAGGGGCAGCACCAGTGCTTATGTTACTAGGGGAGGAAGCTGCATCCCCCCTCTGACCACCCAGTATCCCACATGCCCTTCATAGCTGTCCAAGGTGGGTGTAAACCAGCCTAGCTCAGACCCTTGCTTACATAGGTGGTGTATTCACTTTCTGTGTGCAGGGGCCAGACAGTGATGGGTCATCCCCAGAGAGCCAACTGGCCTGTGGCTTCCACAGTGGGAAGGGGCAGGGATCTAGAGGTACATGGAGCTGAGCTGAGCTGCTCTGCAAACTCCTTGTGCTCCAGTCATGATGGCTATGAAACCTTACAGCTCACCAGCCTGGGGCCACTCACCACCCA